TAAACGAGTTGTTATTTTGAGGAGGAATCAAGGAATGATTCAGCTTTGAGTTCAGGGTTCTGAAGCAAGAGATAATCGATTATGGCTAGGTGATAATCGATTGTGAATTTGTGTGGCTGAAACCCAGAAACTTCAGAGTAAGCAGATAGTCGATTATCAGTATATGATAATCGATTATAGGAGCTCGCAGTTTATTCTAATGGAATTCAGCAGGGGACGACAGTCGACTATCAAATGTTGATAATTGATTATTGGACTTTGCAGCAGACGCCAAGAAAGTCCTGAAGGGTGAGATAGTTGATTATCTTAATTGATAATCGATTATCAAGGCAATCAGGATCAGGAAACCTGGGCGGGTAATAGTGGTGCTTGTGTGGGAATGGCTGGGATTTGTGGAGATGATGAGGGAGTTCTTTTGGGTATTTTAATTGGAAGAAAAGAGTGAGATTAAGAGGAGAAATGGGGAGGTATGAAATGGGAGAACAATCAGGGATGGATAAACCAAGTTGGTATTTAAGAGATATTACACACTCTTATCCTAACTTGGGGTTTGAATCTAGAATTTAATTAAGATATGACACACCTAATAAAATATCTAGAACCTAAAACTCACACTTAAGATAACCACTCTTAAGATATAGAATTAGGGATTTGGCTAAAATAGCATCACACTATTTTAATAATACTCAAAGAGTAAAAGATTTGCAATATTCAGAGATGATTTTTACAATGGCCATAAGGCCTGAGTTTATATAGATACATAAAGGAGACTCTAAGGTCTCTTATTCACACAAATTAAAGGAAAAACAAGAGCCACTCATTATTGTCCTTTGGGTGGGGAAAAATCAGAGATGGAGGGTGTTGTAGGGTCTTTAGTGAAGGTACATCAGGGGGAAAATAAATGGCATCTCCTTTGGTGATTTGGAGGGGAATATTTAGGCCAAGGGGGAAGGGGTTGTGCAGGAAATGGCTGGGTTTTTTTTAGGGGCTTCTTGTAGGCATCTTATGGGGAATAAAGTGAGGTCTAATTGGTGGGATGGTGGGCCATTATGTTTTGGATCATAGTGGCTGTGGCTCTCCCTTGTGCTGTATCAATGGTATCAGAGCCAACTCGGAGTGGTGGCCCACGGAGTGGTGGCTTTGTGAAACCAGCCGTGACCAACGTGGCCGTGACCAACGTAGCCGTGACCAACAAGGACGTTGGGCCTTATGGGGGGTCGAATGATACGGACTGATTTCATTGTCCCACATCGGTTAAATGAGGGACTTGGTGATGGGTTTATATAGCCAAGGGTTCTCCCACCTTATCAGCTCCTTAGGGTAGATAAGATCATGCTCGGTCAAAAAATGACAACAATGTGAGGGTAGGTAAGAGTATGCCATGTAGAAAGAGAACTAAGGTAGTAAATATAATACCTCGGGATTACGTGATTTATAAGGTTCGGGATGAAAGGTAAGTTAGACTTTGAGGGCTGAAATTGACTAGTCCAAGAAGGGAGTTGGCAGAAAGAAGAACTCACACCTACAACTAGAATGGCAGAAAACCCGAGGTTAGCATTCTTGGCCAAAGAAGCTAAGGACATTAAGCTTGGGATCCCAATGATGTACCCCTGGATGGCTCCACCAAAACCCCAAACTCTCCCAAAATATCCAAAAGCCTTTAATCTTCATTTGATAATCAAAATAAAGTCTTTTCCCTTCTTTTTAGCCTTGGACGAAAATGATGACCAAAAAGACAAACCTTGTGTGTTGTTTTCTACTTCTTTTGTTCCTTTCATTAAATAAGACCTTCCCCTTATTTTCCTACACCTTTCCAACAAAATCCCCACCCATTTTCTTCCTAAAATCCCGGCCTAAATCATGAGAAAACAACAACAAAACAAAAGGACAAAATTAGCAAAGAAGTCTTTGATTGAATAGTAACTTCTTGTCCTATTATTCACTTAAAGTCAAGCCAAACTTTGTCTCCTTTGTCTTGATCCCTTAGGGCCAAATTTCCTACATAAAAACAAGTCATTTTAGTCCTAATTTCAGTCACACAACATTCCTTTGCTATTTCCCACATAAGGCCGAGATATCACACCACAACAATCCAAACAAAATCCATTCCTTTTATCCTTAAAATCAGCTCAATTAGGATGTTTGTGATAATTTCAAAATGTAAGGAAGATGGAAGGAAGTTTCCTAGTTGTATTTATCTTCATTTGATTGTATTTCCCCTTCTCTTCCCTTGTATATATTTCAGCCATGGACCATTGTAAAACATATTAGATTATTGAATAAAAAACCTTGTTTACTCTTTTGAGTAATTCCTTTAAAATAGTGTGATGTTATTTTATCCAAATTTCCTAATGAAATATCTCTAAAGTTGGCTACTTTAGGGTGCGTGTTAGAAGTCTAATTTTATACATTAGTAGTGATTATTAATGGGTAAGAGAAGATAAAAGCTTCAAGTTAAGATAAGAGTGTGTCATATCTCTTAACACCAACTTGGTTTATCCCTTCACTTTATTTCTCCCATTTCATTCCTCTCCATTTTCTCTTCCTAAACCCCATTCTATTCTATCTTAATAAATCAAAATACCAAAAAGAACTCCTAGAACACCATCCACATTTTCACAATATCACTTCTCATTCATTTCCTTCCGCAAAATCCGCCACAAAATAGCTACTCGATAAGACCCCGGGTCTCGGGTACAACACCCAAGACTTAGAAAAAATGTTGCGGGCATAAATTAAAGGGTGCAATACCCCAGACTCCCATCAACAATTAGAAAACAAGTCTTTGGGGTCGAGTTCAATTAACTCCCTGAACCCTAAACACTTGAAACAAAGTTATGGATAGACAACCTTAGTTATTAAAATAACTAAAAACCATGGTACAATTCAATAACAACCTTAGCAGGTTACAAGGAATAAAGTGACAAGCAAATACAAAAGTTGAAAAAGCATTAAGCAATGACTACATCTACATTTTGCTTAACACGTCCAAAACAATGCCCGGACCCAATAAGGGGTTTTCGAGCTGTTCAAGTGATGTTACCAACACACCAAGGAGATTACGACAGCGTCGTGGAAGATAATGGATTGAGACACCTGTCACCCAAGCAAAGGGCCACCGCTAGGAAGACATGACCAGCAGCTTGGACCACAAGGTTCTGCTACCGACGTGGTCCGCAGGCCGCATGTTGCATGCTAGGGCACTGCTAAGGGTCACAATGTTATCCCATCCACAGGTCCAGGGGAAGAAATTGTGGGAAGGATGGGAGCAAGCCAAGCACAGAGGCCCAAGACTAGCCCTTGCCTTTTGACGTCAAAGACGGCGTGCACTAGAAGACTTAAATGAGTTTTTACACCGCACCATCCTCAGCACAACACCGACCTTGAAGGCGAAGATGAGTCTTGTTGCAAGTTCAATTCACACAGATGTCCAGCATCAAAAGGAGGATGGTTTCAAATGTAGAAGAAGAATAAAGAGGTAAATAAGCAAGACATATTGAGAGAACTTTTTGCAAAAGAATTATGTAGGGCTAAGAGCATAAACCCGCTCTTTATAGCCCCAGAAAGGGGGATAGTCAAGAAAGGGCCCCTTGGAAAGGAACACACATTTATCGCTACACAGGTTTTCGAAAAAAGGTATGACGCTCAAAGGCTGGCTAGAAAAGGTACGTTGCATTCAAAGCAGCGATTTGAAATAAATGCTTCCACTTTAGCGCTTCCCAAGGATTAATTCATGAGTGTTCTCAACTGACCAATCCCTTAGGTGTAGGACCTCAGACGCTACCAACTCTTCTAAAACCAATTGGTGTTAGAAGAGACGCATACCCTAGCCTTATAGTGCATTCATCACACAAGCGCCCACGACATTCGATTGTGACTTGGCCCACATAGCCTCCGCCACGGGACAATTGCTGCACACATGGCCAACATTAGGGACACGCCACATGAAGGGCTGGGAGCTTATGAAGGAGATCGGATCCACAAGATAATTATATGAGTTGGACTGATCAGCTCATACTCAACGGATCGCATGATTAAGCGAGGCCTGGTGGTGAAAGAAAGTGGGCCAAATAATAGGAACACTAAATGGTATGAGAGAATTCTAAATTTATGAAAATTATGTTGTAATAGAGAACAAGAGTATTGGGATGCAAGATTGGAAGGAGATCTGAATCCTCCTAAGATTGAATACCTAATCTGTCTCCCAATAATATATTTAAATAAACTTGTCCTATTAAGAGGAGAAGATTGGAAATTTTTAAATACACAACATATTGTGAGATTTGTAATTTTCTTATTTATATTTTCATGATTGGATAGCGAGATCTATCACTTGTTAAAACTTGGATAATTTAAGACTTTAAGATCTTATTCAAAAGAGAAAAAGACTTTCACGATGAACGCATAATAGCCACACATTTTGTGGGGGGCTTACGGCGGGGTTGGGGTGGGGGTGCAGGGGCGGGGGTATGGTGGGGGGTTTAGGGGGTGGGTTAGGAGGGGTAGGAACCGTCAATTTTGTGAACGGAGCACCGGAGGTGCCCCAAAATGCCAGTGGCACTGGAGTGGCACCGTACTCCAGTGGCACTAGAACCCCACCGTTTTATTTATTTGTAAAAATAATAGAATCATATAACTACAGAACTTTCGACTGGCTTGAATAGTAGGAACTAGGAAGCTCATTCTTTAGAATTAATGAAAAAATTAACCAAGTTCGAGCCTAAAAAAAGTAGATGTGTTGACTCTTTTGCGTTGTTATCTTGAAAAAAAATATGAACAAATATTATTATGTAATAGAGTAAATAGTACTCAAAAAAATATAATTACTTATTTTATGAACATTTAATATACAAATTTTACATTATAAATATTTATGTTTAAAGAAATTAAATTTAAAATAATATCAATCAAGTTTTCTTAATAAAAAAAATCGAACCGGAGCAAGAGTCATACACTATACCTTAATGTGTGGTCTGCTTTGATCCACACCATCATATGGCGGCAAGGACAATGTGTTTCACAATTCCTTCTGGGAAATACGAGTTGATTTTTTATCTTCAACTTCTATTTTCCTCTCTCTGAATAGTGAATACCACTCGCTTGAGCTCATTTCTTGGTGCTCTTCTTCAATGATTCAAACTTTAGCGCTTCAAGAATGGCTTTCTTACACGTGAATTTGGGAAATTAAGCAACTTTCTGAAGTGGGTTCTTGATTTGAGGGAAATCTTTCTCGATTTTGCTTGGTTGGTGTGGGCGCCGGATTGTTGAGAATGTTGTCTTTAACCTACAATCTTGAATTTGGAAGAAGTAGATTGTACTTTCCCTTTACTGAGAGCTCTGCGAGAAATGTCCACAAGTGTGTGCTTAGGAATGTCTCCAGGCGCTTCAAGACTGGGAGATTGCTGTTTTACGGGAGTTACACAGGTCGTTGCCAGGTCTTTTCGACGGAGACTCCGGGGAGTCTTGTCAATGGTAAATTTTCTTTGCATCTTGGTAATATTTGGTTGTTTCTGCAGTACAAAACTGTTTTAAGTTTGTGCTTGTTCCAATTTACCTACATATTGTACAAGTGTTGCATTAACTTTGTTAAAACCATGCTCCAGCTTTTGCACCTGCTTCTTCTCCTGTGTTGAGTTTGATGGGGAAGTCTAGAGGTCCAGTTTCTCTAACAAGTCTGTTTGAGTTGGTTGCTGATGACCTCAGTACACTGAACAAGAACTTACAGTCTGTGAGTGTTGATTTTAAGTTGCTTCTTTTTTCCCCCTTCTAACTTGCTCTTTTGAAGAACTTCTGTTTTTTTTTGTTATATGCCTGCTAAGTGATGCCTCTTTCTGGGGTATTAAAGTTTGTTTGATTGTGAGAAAAGATTCGATAGGAGTCAAGCCCTAAATGGTAGCTCAAGATTAGATTTTTGGCCTAACTCTCTGCGTGAAATGGGTTTTTGAATTTTAGCTTAAACACGAGTCATGTCCCTTCCTGGGTAGAGGTAAGGTGTGCATAAGTCATGCCCTCGGCCCTCCCCAAAACACATTTCTTGGATTACACAAGGTTTGCTGGTGTAAACTGTAAAGTACTCCATAGAAAACAACAATAAATAAAGCCCTACTTATATGCACAAGCTTGCTTAAGAGTGTAGGTTTGGCCTAACTCTTATATTTAGGTCAAGAATTTCCTTAATATGCAATGTTGGACACAATAAGGGTGCAGCGTAGAAAAGGTAATGGAGAAACACATTGTGGACATGACAGAGACTATTAAGGTTAATAAGGGTTCGTAAGGTTTATTCCAACGGTTAAGTTTCTTTAAAGGTTATTTAGCAGAGCGGAGACTTTCTTTGGACATGGACATGAATAAATAGGATCGCTTGGAGTTCGTTTTGATGTCAAAGGTCCTGCTGTGAACTATCAAACAATTTAGACTTGCCCATAATAGTGGGAAAGTTGAAGGGCCTAAATTATTCTATGTATGAACTACAAAACATTAATCTTGTGGTTGGAACTGATGGTAGGCACAACAGCAGGCATGAAGTGTGAACACTTATAGTAGAGTGGTTGTACAGCTACAAGTTATGAAGCGTATCAGTGGACCCAAAGATAAATGTGACACTTGCATTATTTTCTGGATCCTTATGGAGAATAGTTTTGACTTTAATCAAGTTACCTGGAGTATTATGTAGCAAAACTGTGCATTCTATATTACTTCTTTTATCAGGATCTTACGAAAGGGAATTGTTGCTTAACAGGTGGGAGTATGGCTAGGAGAGTTCTTCAATGGAGTAATTGTGCGTTTAAAACATAATAGTGTGAACAATGGAGTTTTTTCCCGCTTTTAATTGTTTTCATAAGCTTACTCTTTGATTTGTCTCTGATCCAACTTTGACTGTTATGCCATTTTAGCTGGCGCTCTATTATCCTTAACCACCCATAAGATCATTAATAAAGTTTTTTTACACAAGTCTGATTGAATCCAACTCTTAGATTGTAGGTGCAGAAAACCCGGTTTTAATTTCTGCTGCAAAGCAGATATTTGGTGCTGGCGGGAAACGGATGAGACCTGCTTTGGTTTTTCTTGTTGCCCGAGCCACGGCAGAGATGGTTGGCCTGACGTGAGGGCCAGTACTTCCTATTTCAGTAATTACCATGCACTCAATCGTGTACTATGATGATCCAGCTTACTTAGATTTGTTTTTGGCTCAGGGAATTAACCAAGGATCATAGGCAGCTAGCTGAAATCATAGAAATGATCCACACTGCAAGTTTGATACATGATGATGTTTTGGATGAAAGTGACATGCGTAGAGGTTTGCCTCTATTTTGATTATACTAAAACTGAATGTGGCCGCAAAAACGAATAAATTCAAGATCCTTGTTCACTCTTTTTTTGAAGGAAAGAAAACAGTCCATCACTTATTTGGTACAAAGGTTGCAGTGCTGGCTGGTGATTTTATGTTTGCGCAATCATCTTGGTGCCTAGCTAACCTTGAAAACCTTGAAGTCATAAAGCTAATAAGCCAGGTATTGTAGCATTTACTTCAATTTCTGCAGCTTTAGAATGCAACTCTGACTGTTGAATCATTCCGCAAACCCCCCTTTACCAATCATATATTTTATATACCAAACACCTACTCATTTGACTGGAAATGAAAAAATGTAGGCCAAAATGGAAGTTCTTGAAACTTACCTTTTTCTTCTTTGGGGATGATAACTTAGACTATTTGCCAATTTCAGTAACCTGCAGCTTTCCATTCAAATTTTACTCTTTCCAAACGGGTCACAGTCTTTCATAATATTCTTTAAACACGATTCTCATTCAAGGTTGATGATATGTGGACAGAATCTAGTTCAGTTAATGTGTTCAGTGTTTGGGGACATATTGACAGGTCATTAAGGATTTCGCGAGTGGTGAAATTAAGCAAGCATCGAGTTTGTTTGATTGTGATGTTGAACTGGAGGAATACTTGATCAAGAGTTACTATAAAACAGCTTCCTTAATTGCAGCTAGCACGAAAGGAGCTGCCATATTTAGCGGGGTCCAAAATGACATAAGCGAACAGATGTATCAGTACGGAAGGAATCTTGGCCTGTCATTTCAGATTGTTGACGACATATTGGACTTCACTCAATCCGCCCAGCAGTTAGGGAAGCCAGCTGGAAGTGATCTGGCCAAAGGAAACCTCACCGCGCCAGTGATCTTTGCGCTACAGAAGGAGCCGAAGCTGAGAGACATGATTAGATATGAATTTTCTGAAACTGGATCTCTGGAGAATGCGATCGAGGTTATCAAAAGTTGTGGAGGAATTGAGAGAGCTCAAGAACTGGCAAAAGAGAAAGCAGATATGGCCATTCTGAATCTCAAGTGCCTTCCTCCGAGTCCTTTTCGAATAGGACTCGAAGAAATGGTGTGTTATAATCTTGAAAGAATTGAATAGGATGAACTTATCTGACACTCGATCCCGGGATCTTGAAAGACTTGAAGACACTCCTTTGCAGCTCCATACTTCTTATATACTTGTATTTGTTTTTTCACAGGAGGATGATGCATTTAAATATTGTAAAAATAATACTATCTCCACCCCAAACTAAAAGACACTATAATTTATGATAATTGATTGAATTTATTTTAAAATATTTGTAGAAATAAAAAATTATACTTTTAAAAATTACTCCGTACATCAAAAGTATTATTTTACACAAAATGGTGACAATAGGGTATTGATGGAGGATAGCTCTATGTGGCCAGGCCAGGGTGGAGATGGAGTTTAGGTGTTGGAATTTTTGGCTTGTAACGGGACAACTTCGAACGTAAACTCGGTGGGGTCTATAAAAATATTTTCCAGTATAATCATGGACAAATAATCTTCCAAGTCAGACGAGTGTTTCGACATATTGTGCGCCAAAAATAGTGCTCAGTTGAATGAGAAATTAATTCACAAAGTCGGACACTTGGAAGGAGGAAACTCACGTATCCCACATCGGTTTTGGGACCTTTAATCTTTCACTATATATATGCTAGCATCGGATGGTATGTTAAAAGCAATTTGAAAAGGAAGGAAAAGACCCCTTGCGCACCGCCGTCGTCCGTCCGGCTTGGCACAACATGCCTGCATGAACAATGTGCTCTTGCGCGTGCGTTCTTGCACTTCGTTTTCTTAAGAATTATAATTTCTAAAAATGTAGTTGTTATTTAAAGAATGAAAATGAATAGTACAAAAACAACTATAATTAATATTCTGACGGTAAAAAAAGGGACGAGGTAAAATGAGAAATTTATTACATTAAATCGGTTACCTATAAAAAAATTTAATTACATTACTATGAATTGATGATATAAGATAAAATGAGAAATTTATTTCGGGGAACTACCGCTTCCCCTTGTGGTTGCACCAGAGAGAGTGACAGATCTCACAGTTCGGTGGTTCCATCCTTTTTTTAAATTATAGAGTGTAAGCGTAAAATAAATTAAATGCTTTTATGAATTATAATTTCTAAAAATGTAGTTGTTATTTAAAGAATGAAAATGAATAGTGCAAAAACAACTAAAATTAATACTCTGACGGTTCAAAAAAAAGAGACGAGGTAAAACATTCGTAAAGAAACCCTCGAAAGAGCTTATAAATTGCTCACCTATAAAAAATCTAATTACATTATTATGAATTTATGATATAAGGTAAAAAGAGAAATTTATTCCGCAGAACTACCGCTTCCCCTTGTGGTTGCATCCATGTAATTTTGGGTATCAAAGTCGTACCCTGAATCCTGAGCTCGACGTCTTGCCAAGAGCCAATCTCCATTGCAAACAAGTGTCTCAAACGATTTAGCGGTAAGACAACTTCGTTAGTCCGTAAGAATGTTGCCGCTAGAACTAAACTCTTGTTCCACAGCGACGGTTGAAACCAGCATGGATAAAACTTGTCTCGCTAGCATTCCGAGAGGCGAAAACATGTGTCCATTCCGCATGCACCATTCGAGGGCATCGAACTCGTTTTCGTTGTCTTCGTCATAGTCGCATGGCACTTCTTGGTACATAGCAAGTTTGTTGTGCGAACTTAAACTTCCACCACCAGAACTCGCCGAGGCAGAACTATGCTTTCCTTTTTTGGCTAAGAGGCCATCAACTATCCCTTTAAAACCTTATTTGGACATGGGAGGCACAGGAGGTGATACTTCTTCCGGTGCATTATCGTAAATTGCTTGAAATTCTTTAAATAATTACCCAAAAAGATCAATAACATTATCTCTTTCTTTTGTCCATTCTATTAAATGACCATAAAATAATCATTTTATCTAAAAAAACAACTATAGTTATACTCCATTAGATTTTTTTAAATTATCAATCTCTAAGAGAGGATCACAAATATTACCAACTTTATAAATGTCAGGAATGTACAAATAACAAGAACATCATTTATCCTTCATAGGATACACAGTGGTACAACTCTGCATCAGATAAAGATTCACGAAAACATGTTGCAATAGTAATACACTCAGAAAAAATTTGTTTGTCATAGGTTTGTAAATATGCGAGAAAGTAAGAGTTGCATTATTAAAAACTTCTAACACAGTGTTCAATTTTCAATAAGATTAAATTCATTCATTTCAACCATAACATTAAGTTCATAGTTGAGAAATGAAGCAAGTTCTTCTTTATACCGCAACACGCCAACACCTCATGAATCAACTTATATGTACTATACCATCTAATATTAATGTCCTTAGCAAATGTTATTGGTTTTCTATTCCTAGATTTACAATAATATTTCCATGCTTTAGTAACAAGACGACTAGCCCAAATCCTTTTTATACCAACCTTAATTTTACTTAAAATTCCACCCATAGCGGATAATCTTTGTTGAACATACAAATTTAAAACATGAGAGGCACACCTTTGGTAAAGAAATCTACCCATGACGGTGGTAGGGGCAAATTTCTTTAAAAATAGGAATGAGAGCAGTATTATTAGTAGTATTATCAAAACCAAAAGAAAATACCTTATCAAGTAAATTGTATTCTTTGAAAATACACTCAAGTAAATTAAAATAGCAACATTATCACCAGTGTGAGATTCATCGAAATCACGAAATGCAAGAACACATTTATGCATAATCCAACCACTATCTATCCAACGACAAGTAACACTCATGTAAGACAAATTATGATAAATTTCACTCCAAATAACAGGATAAATAGTAACATGAGAATTAAAAGTAAGAAAAAAATTTGCCAAATTATTTTTTTAAACTTGATATTGTCTAATAATTTATCTCTTAATTGTTTTTCTTGAAAAAACTCTAGCTTGAAGATTTAGTGCGGTTTGACAATAATCAATAAATCAAAGTTTTTCAGGAAACATATATGACAAATTTTTCTCACAAATCATTTCGGCCATTTTTTGCTTATTTTGTTCATTGCTATAAGCAAAAAGGCCGCCCTTAGCTTTGTTTGCAAATCGAGAAATTTGGGTTTGCACTTCTCCCTTGTTTTCCATGCATGTATTTGGCGTACTCTGCCGAGTGCCTCGATGCGAGGTGTTTGGACGTTCCACCATAACCCTCGGTGTTTCCCATTTTTATGACTTGCCCACAATGAAGAAAAGTTTCAAAAACTTCTTCATTTTTTGTATCTTTTTTGAAATGGTATACAAACAAATCAGATTTAGGTTTTTTAGTTTTTCCCGGACCATTAGAGATCTCGGGCTCACGTGTCTCCACGTATGCGTCAGTAGAGTTGTTGCTCCCCTCGACCCCGTTAACGTCCTCCAATATATCTTCAAGAGTTTGAAGATTGAAATCATTCCATCCAATCATTCTGCCTTCGTCTATGAAATGATTCAACTCTTGATTAGTCATTGCATCACCAATGAACTACTCTAGAATGGAAGGAAAAAGAGAGACAGAATGTCTCCCTTGAGAAAGACGTGAGCCTGAACCTTCGGGGGTGGCGTGGGCTTTGCCTTTGTTAAAACCTCTACGGTTCACAATGCCAATATCCAGAGACCTTCTACCAGACACTCTCGACATTTTAATTTATTTTGTACATTGACTAAAGAATACGAAATTAAATTAGAATATTATAATATTCTATTTTCTAAATTCTTAATATTAATAATATAATATATTCGAATTTTGATATATATTATAATTTGGTTATAAATATATAATAATATAATATATTAATAATATATGATTATATATTTATATAATAATAGAGAATGAGAGATTAAAAGAGAGGGAGAGATTCAGATTTTTTGTGTGAATTAAAAAAAATGGTGTTCATTTATAGGATTAAACCCCCCCCCCCACCTCCAAACACCCCCAACCCCCAAACCCCCCCACCAATGGCTCTATAGTCGTTGGTTGCTGGCAGACACGCTCCTCAGGACCCACATCTGCTTCAACGCTCAAATGGAAGGAGAAAAAAATTAACCCAAAACCAGTACTGTTACTGCTGATTCCGGTACCAAATATCTAACACCGGAACCAATACCGTGAGTGGCGGTTCCGGTACTGGTTCCAAACACTGGCCGACCGTCTCTGTTTCTGGTCCCGGTAATAGAACCGCCAGTACCGACGCAAGCACCGGTTCCATATCCAAACCGTTTCACGGCCTAGTTCTAACTCTTAATTTCTGATCATCTTCTCTAAAGAGTGACCTTCCCTTCCTTCCAGTTTTCCGATGCACGGTTCTACCACTCTAGACCTTGCACGTTAGCGGTTTTATCTTGGAGGAGATCGACCACGTTAGCCAGTGCGGGAGGCGGGCGACACCCCCTTAAGGAAAGCTCCGGCGACTTTGCTTTCCTTTCTTGCCGTTCGGCTTCCAACGACCTTTTACTTTATTTTATTTTTTATTTAAATTTCCCCATTGTAAAATCCAAACATATTATAAGTTTGAATTATTCTCTTCTTATTTTCCCGCCATAAACTCGTAGTTTTCAACAATCTCAAGGTAGTAAACATGGAGGTGCAAAGGTGAATATCGTTGAGCATCCGTCAAACTCCTCACATGGTGGTAAGAACAAGAAGAAATTGGGTCCTAAACGTAGCATTTCCAAATTCGTAGGGAAATGCTATAATTGTGGCATTATGTTGTATATTGCTTAGGATTGAGAGGGAGTAAGGGAGGCCGAAATATTGAGGATGAAGGGGGGTTTATTTTGAGATGTTTTTAAGGATGTAAAAATATGGGAGAAAAGGGGCTGTTTGGGATACTTAGTGTTGTATTTAGGAGCCCTAGCGGCAATCAAATACCTATGTAACTGTACACTTTATCATGAATGAAAGGCTTTGAAGTATGTTTTATATCTCGTGTAACATAACATAGCTTCAGTCCATAGACGATAGCGCTTCAGTAACATAGATGAGGACTACGATGTTCTGATTATGAGACTATTACTTCTTGACGAAGGCTATGTCTAGAATATCCCTAGTCGCACTTTATGATAATACGGACGTCATAACGTATCAAGACTAGTACGTACGAGATGAGATAGTTGCGTCTCATAGACTATAGGTATTGTGATATCTTAATCTGTACGTAGGTGCATATTATATTGATAATATGTGACTGGATTGACCCATCTTGAGAATACTGCATGGATC